GTGGTATTTCAGAAAGACTCAAATGAGTGAATTACTTGCATGTCTGAGGAAAATCATAGAGGAAAGAACATGTGCACAGATCCTGAAGTGTGAGTATGCCTAGAGTACTCAAGGGACAGCAAGGAGGTTGGTTTGGCTACACTGGTGTAAATAAAGTAAGAATGAAGGGTTTCACACAGAGAAGTGACATGGTCTATACCAGGGTCAATGTGTCGAGAATAAACTTTGGGAATGGGAAGAAGCTGGGAATGTAACCATAATCCCAGTGAGATCTCTTGGTGGTAATGACTAAAGTAGAAGAAGCGAACATGGTGAGAAGTGGTCAGACTATGGAATAAATATGAAATGTGAGCTGTCAGAGTTGCTGGTGCAGTGAATATGAAATGTGAAAAAAAGAGGGGTCAAGGATGACTCCATGTTTTTGGTCTAAAATGGGCAGACTGTCATCCATCTATTGGCTTAGAAGAGAATGTAGAAGGGACAGATTTTTCTGAATGACGATATCTTTCCATAGACATGTTAAATTTGAGGCACCTGTTGTATACCTAAGTTGGGATATCAAAAAAGCAGTTAAATATACAAGTCTGAGGATAACAGGGAAGTTTTAACATGAAGACACAAGTTTGGGATTCATCAGTGTAGAGATGATATTAAAGCTATGAGTTGGAGGAGATAAATAAGGGTGAGAGTTGATTGAGGAATGAGATCCAAGGACTTCACTCTGGGAGCCGCCCAATTCTAAGAGGTCAGGGAGAGATGTTGATGAGATGGAAGAAAAATCAGCAGTTCAAGCTGAAAGCCTAGTGAAGAAAGTGCTTGACAGAGCAGGAAGTGATCACTTGTGTCAAAGCTGTTGGTAAGACAAGTAAGTAAGGACTGAGAATTTACCTCTGTGGGCAGAGGTATCAAAACCACTGATGACCTCTACAAGAGCACTTTTACTGGATGGTGGGGTAAAAGTCCATTTTAGTAGGATTAAGAGCAACGGGAGGAGAAGACAGCAAGAGTGGATACTTTTTGGATATATTTTATGGTAAAATTAAGGCAATAAACAGGGCTATAGTTGGGTGGGAAGAGTAAGAGGATTTTCAGGTTGTTGTCAATGAGCAAGTCAAAAAAGAAAAACTGTTTCCCTATTTTAGGGAAATAGGCAGAAGAGATGATATTTGGCATAAAAGTAGAGGTGTGAGCCTTAGCTTGGGGTGAGAACAGTTCATTTATAGTTAAGGGGAGAGCTGGTAAAAGGCCAGAGACACAGGAAGGCGGTAGAAGCTGGCTGAAGGTCTTCGACTTTGTGTCTAATTGATTCTGTTTCTGCTTTTGTTTCCAGTGGAATAGCTCTTCAGCTAAAAGAGGAGACTAGAAGCAGTAAACAGTTGAGGAGAAAGGAGGTATAAAATATCCCCTAAAATAATGGAAGAGTGTGAGCAGGCAAGGGTAATGTCATAGGATTTCAGGGCAGAGCTGAAGACTCACTCAGGGACTTCCATTTAAAATGCCAGTGCTGGGGGTGGAGGGCACCTGGATGGCTCAGTCAGTAAGACATCTTATTCTTGATTTCGGCTCAGGTCATGATCTCAGGGTCATGGGATGGAGCCCCACACTGGGCTCTGTGCTCAGCAGGGTGTCTGCTTAAGATTCTCTCCCTCTCCCTCTCCCCCAACTCGTTCATTCTCTCTCTCTCTCAAATAAATAAATCTTGAAAAAAAAAAAAAGTTCAACTGGCCAGCATGGTTGTGTGATTGCCCTTCACCATGTTTAGCTGTGCTAGTATAAGCATAGTGTAGGCAGAGACTTAATTTAAAAAAATGTAATCTTTTCCTATGGCTGCTATAATAAATCATCACTAACCTAGTGGCTTTAACAACACAAATCAATTCTCTTCCAGTTCTGAAACCAGAAGTCTGAAGTCGGTTTCACTGGACTATAGTCAAGGTGTCAGCAGGACCACTCTCCCTAGGGAGCCTCTCCTGGAGAATACATTTCCTGGCTATTTCCAGATTCTAGAGAGGCTTTCTTTGGTTTCTGGCCCCCTCCTCCATCTTTTAAACAAGCAGCCTAGTGCCTTCAAATCCCTTTCTGCTTCCATTATCATATAGTCCTCAACCTTCTGTGCCAAATCTTTTGCTGCCTTTGTCCTATGAGGATTAAAAACACTCGCATTTGCATCCAGGGTTCATTCATACCATACAGAATGATCTCCCCATCTTGAGAGCTTTCATTGAATCTTGTCTGTAAAGTCTCTTCTGTCCTATAAGATGACGCTCCCACCTGGCTGGAGTCGGGACTTGGATATTTTGTGGGGGGCATTATCCAGCCTGTGGCAAGCGACAATGTGGTTTTGCCCAGCTGGCATAATGAACAGGAGAGGGGCAGGGGAGGGGTCTTATGGTGGACCATTGAGTTCAACGTGACAAGGAGAGAAATGAGAGCAAGAAGAGGTGAGGGATGGGAAAATGCAGGATAGGTTCCCCACGACTGCAGTATTTGGTACCCGTGAACTGGTTGTGATGGAAAAGGAATTGGATGGTGGTGGTTAGAGAAGAAGATGGTTGAACCCAAGGTGATGGAGGGATGAGGCTGACACGGGACGGAAGTCGGCGTCATCACAGGAGTCAAGGAGCCAGGGGCATTTAGGTGGAATAGGAAAATCAGCCAGATTTATGACAAAGATAGTATTGGGGAGGCTGACAGTGAGCCAGGAGCTAAAATTTGGGGGAAGGAAATAAATGTATCTTTACATCTATGGCACATGGACTAGAGTGATGGATTCAAATTATTTTGAAGTTTAGGGACCTTAAAACCTATTCTCACACATCCTTCTCACATCACAGGTGAGTTCTATTAAAACTGAAGTACTCCCACAGCTCATCAAATGTTAACACTTTCATACTGTTACCTTATCACATGGAGTTAAATCTGCTGCAAGCTTTAGACTGGTTCCAAAATATGTTATACGGAACATGTCAAAGTGACCAGACAACATTTATAATGGACTCTAATCCAGACACCTGGTACCGGAGGTACAGTCCAACGATGAGTCTCACTGGGGTTGCTCCGGAGCTTGCCAGATATGCAGAATCCCAGGCCACAATCAGATACCTTGAGTGCAAATCTCCAAACTGACAAAGATCTCTGGCAACTCATTTGCAGATTAAACGTTGAAAAACATTAGTCTAGACACCAGAGCAGAGGAACATGTCAGGAGTGAAGATCCACAGTATTTTTGGCCACATCTGTAGGAGGAAGAGATGAGAATTTTTGTCAGAGAATTTTTCCCTCCCACTGCAACCAATACAAGTGATATGATTTAAATAATTGTGGGAAGCTGAAGCATACCAGTTTAATATTTGCCTGAGGTCAAATTTCAATACTGAAACTAGAGCTCAGGTGCCAACTGGTTAAGTAGTTTGTTTGTTTTTTTAATTTTTTTAATTTTTTTTTTTTAATTTGAGAGACAGAGAGAGAGAGAGAAGGAGCAGGGGCAGGGGCAGAGGGAGAGGGAGAAGCAGACTCCCCGCTGAGCAGGAAGCCCCATGCAGGGCTTGATCCCAGGATTCCTGGATCATGACCTGAGCCAAAGACAGACGCTTAACTGATTGAGCCACCCAGGCATTCCCTGGTTAAGTAGTTTTTTTTTTTTTCTTTTTTCAAAGATTTTATTTATTTATTTGACAGAGAGAGAAATCACAAGTAGGCAGAGAGGCAGGCCGGGGGGGGGGGGGGCCGGGGGAGCAGGCTTCCCGCCGAGCAGAGAGCCTGACGCGGGGCTCAATCCCAGGACCCCAAGACCATGACCTGAGCCGCAGGCAGAGGCTTCAACCCACTGAGCCACCCAGGTGCCCCTGGTTAAGTAGTTTTAAAAGACTGAACAATCCTCCCATCAGTGCCTGGCCTTGTGGCTTCTTCTGAGCTTTCTGAGATCTGTTAACAGGAGGAGGCTGCCCTATCTCAGTGCACACACCCCTATCTGACAAATACATGTACATACAAGTCATCCCAGAAATGACATGTTCTTTCCCATACAAGCCAAGCATTTTCCAGTTATATAATTTATTCATCCCCAGATGGAATCTGCCATTTTTTTTTTTTTAAGATTTTACTTATTTGACAGAGAGAGACACAGTAAAAGAGGGAACACAAGCAGGGGGAGTGGGAGAAGGAGAAGCAGGCTTCCAGCCCAGCAGGGAGCCTGATGTGGGGTTCCATGCCAGGACCCTGGGATCATGACCTGAGCTGAAGGCAGACGCTTAATGACTGAACCACCCAGGGGCCCCTGCCATTTATTTCTTATTATTGTATAGTACCAGAAGATTTAGTGGTCTTCAAACATGCATTCTAGAGGAATAAAATAGGTAAGATACAAAGGGGAGAAAGAAGGTGGTATATAACAAAGTTAGAACGTTTACCAAATAGGACATTAGTTGTGGTACATGCAAAATATATTCTGATATTAGGACTTTACAGATTTTCAAGAGATGTTTTTTAGATGGGCAACAATGTAACAGATCATTGAAACTTGAGTTCCTAGAATCGAACCTAGTTGGAAGTCTCTCTGGAGCTTAGAGTCTTAATATATTTTAGTGCTGTATTGCTAAACACAGATATTTTCCCATAAAGTGAAGGCTTGGCTTTCTTTCATCCACCATTCTGAACTGTATCAGAAGTCTAATATGAAAGTTATCCATTAATTTCTATATTGCTCGGGTTTTACTGTTGTCATAAAATTTGGGAGCCTATGTTTCAATAATCTTGGCAGAGAGCTTTTAAATTAAACAAAGAAAAACCACTCACGTAAATTTACTTTAGTGTTCTCGTCATCAGCGTGAATTTCATAAACCACATGACAACTTTGTTAAGACAGTTTATTTATGGTTTACACTCAGTCTGTTATCAAAAATGATATGACATGATTACAATAAATAATACATGCATATAAATAGCATAAAAAATAGAACTAAGTATCAAAATATCAAAAACATTGGAAAGGAATGGGAAAAGAGGTATTTTTAAAATATAAATTCACAGATTATTTAAAAGGGAAAATTAAGTCTTATCTGGGGGATTCTGGCAACTAAACATAATGAGAACACAACGGGCCAAATAGTGTTGTTGTTTTTTTAATGTTCTTATACCTGATCATCATCCATCTCCATCACCATAAATTCTCAACTTATTGTATAAGTCTCTACAATATTGCTCATTATGTCTAATAATGTCTGTTAGAATGAATAAAAAGGATAGAACAAACTTTTCTCATATATTATACTAAGAAAGTACATGCGATAGATCATTTTTTTGTGACATTTCTTATCATCATTAAAAGCAGGCTACTCTCCAAGGCATACCATGCTTGAGGGCCACAGCTCCTCTTAGGAGGAATCTTTGAAAGAACACATTTTGAGATCTGGACACTAACAGGACAGTTCCAGTGGATATACTGGAAGATGACAAAAAGGAGGGTGAGGGTGTCTTTGGAGTCACATTATTTCAAATAAAGCTAATTTGACCTTTCCGAGGGCAGGGATTGTTGAGACATTTTCACCCCCAAAAATGGCTCCTCAAAATTCACTCCCAAAAATGTCTCTTCAAAATTGTTGAACAATGTTGTTCAATGCCTGTGAAATATCTGTCAAATATTGTCTCATAATTATGAAACAAATTAATAATTCTCAAAATTTTTAAAAAATTTGCTCTCATACTTTTGGATTTATTAAAACTGTCCAGCCAATACAAAACTACAAAATGTAGACCCCGGCCTCAATCCCACTACTGTTCAGAAATTAGCAAAAATGAAATAATTTAAGCAATGTATACAGAAAAATCGCGGCAACACAGTGTAAATGAGTTGATAGTACTTTCTCATTCCTATAACAGATACATTTTCCATTTCAAAATGAGCTTCATTTGGGTCATTGCCTCCACAGTCATGGCACCAATGACACATCAATCTTGCACAGCCATCTAAAAAAATACTGTCCCCCAGTTTAACATCCTTTGGGAGGTTGTGTTTGTCCTACCCAGTCCTGCCTCTCCATTTCTCTGCTCAAAGCTAGCTCTTGTGCAGCTCCTGACAAAAAATGTTAATTAATGTTAAGTTAGCCATTGTGACAGAGGATTCAGCACACAACCTGACTGAATTCCACTTCTTCATTTAAAAAAATAAGAAAATGATAAGAAGTCCTGTTAAAAATAATAGAAAATATTTAACCATTTGGTATTTTATTATTAGTTCTTGGTCTCCTTAGGGACAAAGAGTGACATGCTCCACCTCAGACAGAGGTTGTGAACCCCCATGTCTCCGCTTCTTCAGGACGAGGAAGATCAGCGAGTATTCCTGGAACCACGAGTAGACAGAAGCCACCCTTGTTCTCCACAAACTCTGAGAACCACAGGCCCAGAGCTCTGTTGCTGGACTTTAGCCTGGCCACTCTTCCAGGGGAGAATGCAATTCTTCAGGCCAATTGTCTCCCCTTCTCGTCCTCTCCCTCAAATGCTATGAGGGCTAGAGCATTCTCACAAAACTTCCAGCTCCCATAGCGGGTCAATCCAAGGCTGGTTGGGATTAGACTGGAGCTGGAAAGGGAAAACGCTGGTGTCACCAGAAAGGACCGTTTCTCCATGCCATCAGGCTCCACCCATTGCCTAAAACCAAATTTCCCCAGAAGCGCATGCTCTCTGATTCCCCAATCATTGGTGTGGATTTGAATTTATTACTTCTTATTTTGCAGTCAACGCTACAACATTGCCCTCTCTGCGAAGTGTCAGAGAAGACCTAGAATTCTCTAAGTAATCTGAATTCAGCATTTAAGTGCGCGCAGACTGCCAGAATGTGAAATACCCACGGTCAGGTCAAATGGGGTCAGAGAATCAGATGCCAGCCCCACTGCCCTCTAGAACAAACCAACAAAGTGCCCACAATGTTAGGGTACTACACAGAGGTTTCCAGGGGTCAGAGGGTCTATACTGTTACGTTCCAGGGGTCTGAGGGTCTATACTGTTACCTTAGTATCAATTCTGATTGAACATAAACAAACTGGAGCTGCCATCACTTTATATAACCTTCAGACAGGCAGCTGCTTATTTCTTAGGTTAATCTGATTGATGACACTCAGCTCATACAGAAACCAGGACTAAATGTCTCATCCAAAAATCCACTCCCCCTCTTCTAGCCCCCTGGCCCATTTCCCCATTCCAACACTCACTCCAGAAAGGCAGGAAGATACAGAGCAGTTACCTTCAAACCTTGGAAAAAATCTGTGGAAATTCATCGTCGTGGTTTCCAGATCATACTTCTAACCTGAATCTGGGGACTTAAAAGTCACTCTTATTCAGAACTGATGTGGAAACAAAAGCACTTTTAACTTTGTAAAGTTGGAAAAATTATTTTGTTTTGTTTTGGGTTTTTTTTTGTTTTTGTTTTTTTTTTAAGTAATCCAACTTTCTTCCAGCTTGGAAGGGCCTAATTTACATAAATCCCCTCACCCCCACTTTACCTCTGACAGTGGAATTCTAAACAAAGCAATCAGGCTGGCAGATGAGTCAGATTTGCTTATTGTATTGTACGCACGCATGTTAAAGAATGGTACTAGCTCTTTCTTGTTATTTATTGGTGTCAAGAGGTACAATTTAAAAATCCTGCTCTTTAATTTTTTTTTCTCTCCTATGACAGGCAGATTGCTTCCCCCCACACCTCCTTGAGAGCTTACTAAATATTTGAGCAAGAAGAAACCCTAATTTTTCCTCTCAAAACTAACTAGAAACATTTATTTTGATTAAACTTTTTAGACAAAGAGAACCTTTTGATTTGGGGGCTTTCAGGTTTCGGAATGAAATGATTTTAGGTAAATTAGCTGCTAAAATTACTGTTATTACACTCATAAAAAGCTGCTAAAAATAATCAGTTCATAGGGCAAAAAATTCATATATTATAGCATTTTCTTCCTGACAGATACTTCAGAAATTTGGCCTAGAATAGAAGATGTGTATTTTTTTAAAAATTGTAAGAGAATTAAATTAACAAGAAAATGACTATTATATCCATAAATCTTTAATCACACTGATATTTCATAACCTGGGCTCTCCAAACACTTACAATGATAAATGCCCAAAGGCAATTTGAGCCCTGTCTGTCTGTCTTTGTTTCTGATCCAATTCAAGAAATGCAGGTAAGCAATAACACATTCCACGTTGGTTGCTTTCTTTTTATTCTAAACATTCTTTGTTTTGTAGAGCAAAATGTGCTGTCCCTCTGGCCATGGGATACTGGCTGTCCCCAACCTCTTTTCAATCCCCTTTAGGGCAGCAGCTATTTAAACACGAGAAATAGAGCTCTTCCCAAAGACAAATCTCTGCTCATGTTTTCAAGCATGGAAGCAAACATTGGCAGCAAACATGAACAGCAATGAAAAAAAGTCATTTGAAATTTACTTTACTTTTCCCCCATTTAGAGTCAGCAAGAGTTGATTGGTGCAGTTACTACAAAGGCAACCCACAGCAAGAAGTGTGTTCTGCTAGCAATGGGCACATGATTCTGTGTATGAAAGAGATTCTCCGACGTTGCACTGTTCCATCAACCACCCCCCTGTCCCAGCCCATCTACTTTTCATTTCCAAAGCTTTAGCCATCCGCATTTTCCTTTTAAAAAAGGGAGATAATGAAACCTCGCTTTATCATTTATTTCAACACTTCCCAATCCAGAGATTGAAGAAACTCTAATTTCTCACCTAAATTCCATTTCCGGCAACTCCAGCCTTTTCCCACTGGCTACTGAGTAAAAACGTGACTTGGTGATATGTAATGCTCTTAAATTATTTTCTTAAGACATATTCAAAAGTCTAGTTAAATGTGGTTCCTTTGAATTATTTAAATGTGCCTTAGATTTGTACAGCAGTTTATAGCTCATAGATATGACTGCATATACAATCTCATTTGACTCTACCAACAGTCTCAGGAGGAAGGCAGGATAATTGTCTCCAGAAAGAACCTGAGGCCCTGAGAGGTTCAACAACTTGCCTCGAGAGTAACCGTGGAGGTTCAGGATCAAGATCAAGACTAGCATTGATTGTCTTCCAGATCCTAGCGCAGCGCCCGAGTCCCATTTGGTATTTCCTTTATACCTTCTTAAACTTCTCTCATGTCAGGTAGAGAACCTTGAGAAGAGTATGGTGGTTTTGTATAAAGGCATTTTCATAGAAAAAGGTACATATTGCCAAATAATGCCTTTATATTTCAGCTTTGCCCCAGTGAAGTGGAGGCACGTTGAAAACCACAATGCCTGTAGATATTTTTCCAACTTCTCTGTATAGTGTTCGTCCTTGAGTAATTAACCATCCTCAAATAGCATTTGTTGGCTCTCTTCACAATAAAGAGTGTTGGTGTGAATATGAATGGCAGTTGTAGGAGGAGAATGAAAGAGCTGGTACTGGGAGGGTTAGTTTGGGTTCAACTGTATCCTGTGTGATCAACCCACATGTCTGCCTGTGAATAGAGGTACCTTTCTTAAGGTCTACGTTTTTACATATTCCCCTCACAACACTCTACGAAGAGAAGGGATCCTTTAATGAAATGGAGATCCATTCTGGGCCTCTACAGCTGCCTTCCCATTTGGTGTGCACTCACCTGTGTATTTAATACAAATATTGCTTCAGGATTTCCAGAGCAGATAAGAAGGCTGCTGATGTCGGAATGCAGTGCAGAGAGGATCTGCACACCGGTAGCCCTGTGAAATTTAACTTGGTGAATAATTACCATGATGATCATAATTAATAATTATCTTGTGCCAGTGGAGAATTGTACTAATTGGTAATCTCTTCTCTTAAAAGTCCTAATATTTTATTTCTGCTTATTGCTAACGATCAAGTGGAATGCTAATGGAAATGTGGATGACTGGTATTGTAATAATTATAACTGTAATCACATTCAGCAGCTAACCTCTAATTAAAATAAATCAGATGATGTAGTGAGTTGGCTACATACCGTTGTGTTTCCAATAATACATCTTATTGGGGAAAAAATTATTTTCTCCCACAGAAAGCCTTTGAAGATCAGATTAAAAATTATGTGGATGTGTTGTATTTCTAAGGAGGTGTTTTCTGTGGTAATAAGTAGGTTAATTGCATATTCATCAGGTGATGGAGTTTCAGGATAAACACAAGTTAGCATGTAATAAGTACCACTGTTTCTAATGGAATTATAATATTGTCACCATGCAATTATATGCAGGTCATTTTTGGATGTTCAGCTAGTAATGAATATATGTATACAAACCTGAAATTTCTTGACTGAACTCTGAAAATCAATTGGTTAAAATGATCTGTGTGATTTTTAAAACATTGGGCTGTGTGATTAGAGTGTGATGATTTTTATTTATACTTCTGAGCATTTTCCAAAGTGATGCCTACAATTAATGAATATTTACACTATACACGCATAGATGCATATGTGTGTGTCTCTCACTCTCAAGTATCAGTCTCAGCTATCTCTAATCACTCACCAGCAGATAACGGCAAGGAGGCTGACAATAAATGCATATATGCCTATCTTCATGTTGATGGAAATAGAGAGGAGGCCAATCTCTTGAAATGACAAATCGGAGTAATAACTAAATTCAGTATTTTTAGGAACATTTTGTGCTGCTCTCTGGTCTTGTATCTCCCTGGTGCACAGCCCATTTACATTTATTTGGTCCGTGAACTCTGTTCTGCAAGGAGCCAGATGGTAAATATTTCCGGCTTTGTGGGCCATAGAGTCTCTATTGTAACTACTCGACTTTGCCGTTGTAGAGAAAGCATCCATAAACAATATATAAAGGCATAAGCATGGCTGCATACCAAAAATTCTTCATAAAAACAGGTATGGAGCTGGATGTGGCCCACAGACCATAATTTACCGACCCTTGATATAATACAAAATATTTATGAGCCCTCATATGCCAAGTGCTGTTCTAAGAACACAAGGTAGAGGGGTGATAAGCAAAATAAGACTCCTTTTCTTGTCCAGCTTCCACTGTATTAAATAGGAACCTACTATACGCACGGTGGTATGTTGGGGAGCTCTGACAGGGAGTGAGATATTTTCCTTGTCTTCTGGAAGTCTGGGGTTTTCTGAAGGATTTAGATTCATGCATCAGTGTTAATAATTGTGGGTAACAGGTCATGCAGCAGAAGCGTCTACAAGGTGTTACTAGGATTTAAGCAAGGAAGACACAAACCGTTGGCCAAGATTTCAACAAGGTGTGTCTTTTAGGATTTTCAGCAACGGTTATAGCAAAAGCGAAGAGCTATGAAAGACGAGGGCATGAGTGTCCAGGGAGAACACTAAATCCAGAAGTAAGAACAGGTGACACTGAGCCTGGAAATGTAGGGTGGACTGCATTCTGCTGGTCTTCAAGTGCCACACTAGAGACTTCAAACTTTATCTGTAGTGTCTGATGTAGAAGAAACCAGGGGATGATAAGATGTTTCCAAGCATTAAATGGCACAATGAGATCTGAGTATCAGAAAAATCAATGTGGGGACATTAAGGAAAGTTTACTGGAGGAGGAGGGTTTTGTGGGACCCCAGCTTAAGACCATGGTTCCAAATGTAATATAACAATTGCATGAGATACAATGAGGTTTCTGAGCCATCTGTCTGTCCAGGGTCTTCTTAAAGAAGGGGGTTAGAACATCTCGTTCTCAAGCAACTCATCCTGATCTGATTATAGTCTGAGTTCAGCTATCATATCACACTTATTAGATTCTAATGAGAGAAAATGAGGAAAGAATGAGCAATAGTAAACAGCCCTAAGAGTTAGATGCAAAACATAACTAACCACTTTTCAAACCTGCTTCGGAGCAGAAAAGAGGATCGCAGAAGCTACTACATGCCATTTATTTTTATTTAAGTTTGCTTTCTTCTTAAATGTGCCTGAGTTGGTCTTCATACCCTTCTCTTTCCTCCCAAACCAAGTAAGAACTCTTTTGGATAATGAGGCAGGTTGAGGAGAAATCTGCATGATCTTGGGTCACTGGATCTTAAGGTTAGATTCCGAAAGGACCCTGACACCTGAACTTGTAGACAGTGTGACCACTGAAATTCTGTACCTTTGAGTGGATGTTGAGCTCCAGAAGATGGCTGAGAATCATTGATAAAATGCATGACTTCAGAAAAGTAACCCAACCGTAATCATAAATGATGGAAAACTTATAAGTGATACAATATTCAACTTCAACAGATGTGAATTCAGGGGCTATTTGTTGATTGCATCTATGTACAACATAGATTTTGATTTCTTCCCTTTTTTTTATTCTGGGAGCCAAAATGCCCAAGTACTCTATCAACATGGAAAATTAGCCCAAATGGGTATAGTTAATATTCTACAACTACATGGGGCAACTCTCTCTCATCCAGACATATATACATGAATATTCATTTAGGTTTTGTTTTTTAAGAGAAAAATCAGAAACTACCCAAATGTTAATCAACAGGGGTGGGCTATCATTTTATCTCATAGGGTAATTATGCTCTGAATTGTGGGATTAACCTGGGGCCCCACAGAGCCCTCCCACTCCAACCTACTTTACTTAGTCTCCCCACACTCATTCTTCTGGTACTTAGATCTCTCCGTGCCATTTAATTCTTAGAAACATCCTATCATCCTCTAGTTTCTCTTACACCTGTCACCACAGATAAAGTCTGCAGTCTTTAGCGTGGCACCTGAGGACTAGCAGAGTCCAGCCCAAATTACCTTTCCAGGCTCGTTGTCATTAATCATAAAATGGAATAACATATACTAGTTAAGAAAATAAACCAGGGTATGTATTAACATGGATAGGTCTCAAAAAAACCACAGTATTAAATTTTAAAAAGACAAATTACAGAATGGGACATTTTTTGACACTATTTATGAACTTTTAAAACACAGTAACACAATAACAATACTCTATTACTGTCAAGATATACAGACAAAAATGTATGTAAATTTTTTTTAAATTTATGAAAGTACTGCCTTTGGAACAGGAGATGGGAACAAGATGATGGGGACTTCAACCACCCCTACGTGTTTCATAAGATTTTAAAGAAAATGCTAAAAAGTTAGCAGGTATGTGTGGGATGATTCTTTGATCACAGTGTTCTTAGAGGTAAGAAATACATTTTTCAAACATTTAAAAAACAGTTATGTTTTAAGGGTGTACAGGCTGATTTCAAACCAATTTTGTGTAATGTTTTCTGACTTTGTACTTATACAATTTATGTCATTATATTAACATGTTTAACTTAAATAGTATTGATTAAAATTCACTTTTCTTGATTAAATATTGTTGCTTAATTACAACTTCTATATCAGAAGAAGCTTTTAAGATCATTTTTGGCCAGGAATGTTTACCCCCAAATTTGCAGTTTTGCTCAATAATATGGACAGTACTTTGGCATCTATTGCTGAAAACAGGACAACAAACCCAAAATGGAGTCACTTATGCTAAGCCCGGCATCACCAAACCAAGACTTAGCTTAATTACAGTTTCAGATTTCCCAGAAATGGAATCATAAACCACTCAATTAGGAATCAGTTGATCAACATTAGTTAGGTCATCTGGCATCCCCTAAAGGAAAGTAACCTTGCAATAACCTACCCAATTTTTTACCTATTATAGCTTTGCTGTTCCCATTCTTTTCTGCCCTGAAAATCAGAGTGCCTTTCTTTCTGCTAGATTGGATGCTGCCCAATTCCAATTGAGTTTTGCTCAAATAAATTCATAAAACTTTTAATATGCCTCAGTTTATCTTTTAACATGATGGAAGTAGAACTTCACCAGTAATACCAAAGTATTGCTCTCTGACTGAAAAATACACCAAGAGAGCAAACAGACAGTCTGAGTACATCTAAAACACTGAGCAACTAAAAGCTCTAAAGCACAAGCCTCTGAAGAATTTTATGGAGATAGATATGTATCTCTCTCTCTCTATATATATATATATACACACATATACATATTTGAGATCATCATAATGGGGGAAGTGAGAATATACTGTATATTGTTGTACCCTCAAACACATATTTTACAGATTTTCTGTTTATAAACTTTGAATCTCATGGTTTAGAGCAACTTTACCCAGTCCTGTAATGCCTTTTGACTTTCATCTCCTCTTATGGAGAAACTCTTCTGGACTTACCAGAGCTCCTTGGAAAAGGTCTTCTTATCAGCAATCAACTAGCTCTGCCCGAAATCAGTTTGAACTTTCTGGGTCCGAAGGCAGTACAGGAACGTGGAGCAAGTTGAACCCGCAGGCACCACAAAAATGGCGTCTCATCCGCCAAGCCACAGGGAGGTCGGCAGCCCAAAGCCAAGAGGATTGTGGGAATGACGAACGCGGGCCAAATGTCCCATGCTGGCGCCAAAAAGGAAAGAAGCTCTTCACCAAATGATGCACCCTGGGAAAACAGAGAGACACTTGAAAGGTTTAACTCCAGTACCTTTGTTCCCCACTTCGCCTGGTATCTCGTGAAGGCAGCTCTTTGTTTTTCCGCCGGAGATCATGCAGGAATCAACTGCCAAACATACCTTCCACCTCCATGCCATCTAATTATAGCCTGTAACACTCCGCGGTGCTGACAGTGCTGAGCTATTGACTCTTGACACTCTCTAAAGCTCTTAATTATCTTTTCACATAAGCCCCTTTCAGACCTGTCAACTTCTTTGTATTGTTTATGGAGGGAAAAAAGTAGCATATTAAGATTTCAGGACTATGCATTCTGAGGCAAACTTGCAGTTACACTTGTGAGCACTCCCAAATGTCTCTGCACTCATACACACAGACAAGGGAAGAGGTTTCAGATTGTGAAACAGAGCTCCAGGATGACAATTCTGCTGCCAACTCGCAACGGCCAGAAGTAAACTTATCAGGCAAAATAAAATTAACCCAAACTTTAATCACTCTGTCACTGAAGTCATTTTTGACCTTTCTCTCCTTAGAGTTCAAACATGTGTACTTATATACCTACACTATGTAGGTATATGTGCATTGCGTATATATAGTATATATACACACATACGCATATGTATATTTATATACATACGTTTGACTGATATAAACAGTGTCTGAAAAAAGTTTTAAAAATGCATTCAAAAGCTTACTAAGTTTTTAACTCATCGGATTTGGCAATTTCAAAGAGATATCTATGAAAAGACAAGCAATCCCAGTTCAAGGTCAGTATCAGACTGAATTATCAATCCTATCATTTGAGACGTGGTTATGGAATCAATTTCTAGACATTGTTTTATTTCTTGTTTGTTTTAAGAAACACCATTGGTTAGCACTAAAGCACTTGTAGGTTTAAAATCTTACATTTTTAACTAAAATAAGAGTGGATAATTATAAGTCTTACTTAATTTTAATCTTAAGGCAGATGGGTGATAGTAAGGCAGAAAGGGACCTACAGGAAGGGAATACCTGAGCAGCCATACTTGTATTCCTCACTCTGAACTTTGGATGTCCCTGAAGGTTTATTCTCCTTCCCAACAGAGAAATGCAGAGTGGACTTCAAAGAAGAAAACCCTGCTGTAGCTCTGCCTAGAAAATTCACCATTCGGTGCAGTTTTTCCATTCTGAGTCAGAAAAGAAGAGGATGCCTATAGGTGGAAGTCAGCGGCAGGGAAGTAAAGTAGAGAGGCAGCAAAGCTCCAAGGAGCAAATGGTTGGGTGGAGAAGTAGAAACCTCCACTAGAAGTTTGCATCTACCACTCAGACATCAATCCACTCACACCCACCCCTGGCTCTCATTGGATGTGAAATGAGGCACTTTCTAGAGCCACTCCTTGGCTGGGTCATAGCATCGCCAACAGTCCTGCCTTCAATAAATTGCTTCCTATGGCACCAGGTAATTTGGCTTTCTTGGGAGTTTGGTAGAGGGAAATATATAAGAATATACATAATAGAGTAAGAGAGAAGACTATGATGATGGTCAACATCAGCAAATGGTAGAGACATACTTTTCATCTCACAAGCAAGATGTGCTAAAAATATTTCTGTAGAGCAATGTTTCAGAATTTAGAATATTTATCTTATAGGAATAAACTTATCACTAATGGTAATTTTTGAGACTCATCTTTCAGTTTGCCTTACCAGTACTGAATCTCAACTAAATTAAAGTTACAGAGGTCCTTATGAGCTGACTTCAGATCAAAATTGGATTTAAATCATCATCTTTATCTAAAAACTTGGTCTCATCTACCATCAACCTATTTGCCAATGAATTGTTCTTGTTAGGAATTTGAGACTTGGCATATCTATTCAGCAACAATTATCTTCTTTAATTTGTTTACTAATCTGTGTTAGTTGGAGAACAATCAGAAAACAAAAATGTTCAGGAAAAAAAAATCACATTTGATCCTGCCTCTGGAGATCCTCTTATAATCAATTTTTGATTTTTAATTCTAATTAGAGAATATGGTCACAGACCATTTGAAGCAGTATGAAAGCCAAACATAATCTATATTTGGTTTTGGAAATTCCCTTGGATTTCACTTGGAATATCAGGAAATCATTCATACATCAAATTACTATTATCTTCCTGCCTTGAGAAGGTAATTATTTCATAATAAAAGACTTCTTTTCTAGCTTTTATGGGCTAGAATAAATACAGCTTTATGTCCCCATTATTAACTCACACAAATTAGGTACAATTTCAATATGGTGATTTTCTCAATTCATCTTTTGCTTCCTATGTCCATACTGATAGGTAGAGAGAACCCCACAAATAGCCTCACCCACCCTCCCAACAGGCACACACTCATACAGGTGCCCCGCCATCTGGTGTGTTAACTTTGCAGTACTTATAGCATATGAAAGGACCATGAAAATGTGATTGTGTTTTTATTACACATACACACACACACACACATACACACACACAAATATATACGCATTTTACATACATATGTATGCACAAATATATATGCACATATACAAATATATACATTATATTTGTGTGTGTGTGTGTGTGTGTGTGTGTGTGTGTGTGTATTTGGAAACAGGTTTTATCACTATCCCTTCCAAAGTTTTACTGCCAAGTTTTTTAAAATCTGACATATTTAAGAAGGATGGTGTTAATAAAGCAAAAAATACCAAATTATCTCTATTTCTCTCTTCATTTTGCTTTGGCTTCCCTTTTCTTCTCCTTGCCTTGTACATTTCTTTTATCCTATCCTGTCTTTCTCCTTCTTCACTAGTACAAAGCCCATTCCCCCAAATCCCTGCTCCTTTACTTACTCAATTCCATGGATCCTGACTTCTGCTTCTAATTTACCACCACCACCGAAATTTACAGCAAATCTTCCTAATCTTATCTCCTGTTAATCTCACAGAATAAACCAGTCAGGAAAATGCTTGTTGGGATTCTGTTGGGGGAGAATATTGTGAATTGGAAAGAGTGGGTTCTGAGATCCGATAGACTTGGATTGTAATCCCCAATTGTTTGTTAACTAATTCTGTGACTCAGTTAATGGCTTAAGTGCACTAATCCTCAAATTCCTGGTCCATAACAACAGGTGCAGTGATGACCACCTTACAGAGTACTTATTTTTTATGCTATTCAACAGAAAGCCTAACCAGAAACTTAAGGGAGCTAAATTGGAGAGATGCTCCCATTGACCTATTGTGGTCCCCAGAACCTCAAGGTAGATTACTTGTCTTCCCATCTGCCAGTTGCCCTCTTCCTCCTGCCATCCCCCATGTTCTCTGCTAGCCCTGCCATCTCCTCCCACATCTCCTGCTCTTACTTCCTATTAGCTGCCATTATCCCAGCCTGCAGCTTTGATCTAGAACAGACGAGAGGACATTGGAGTCAAACACAGCAAGATCCAAATCTGGACCCTGCTGCTTACTAGCCATCCAAGGTTAGCAATTTACTTAGCCCCTTGGAATTCCAGTTTTCTCAACTCTAAAATGAAATCAATAACCCCTGTCTCGCGAGGTTGCTGTGAGAGATAAAGTGCACCGTGTAGCGCCTGGAACACAGTAGGCACCAAATCGCTGTGGTTCATGTCAGGTTGCTTCTTACAATGTCCGCCGGTTATTTCACGGTTTGATCTAAATCCATTATGCCCTTCCTGAAATAAATAAAGGAACAAGTGCTCTTCCTGACGATGATCATGTCATAGTTTCTTATGCTAAGAGTCATGAAAACCGTGTGTACCGACTTTTGCACAAACATGAGCAAGTCCTATTAAATCACTAAGCCTGTCTTTCCTAAAGCATGAGGACTAGCTACAAAGCAGAATTCTTGGGGGGTGAGAATGGTGTTAAAATCTGGAGTCCCAAGCCTTGCCCCAGATTTATTGGTTCGGAATTTTTTGCAGGGACTGGGAAACCAGAGATCTGGAATTTTAACCTGCTTTTCCATGGACTTCAGTTTGCACTGAAATTTAGGAAATACCACCAAATGAAGGCCACTCACTGAGAATGAGTAATGAATTTAATTTGAAAGTTTCCTAGTATACAAAATCATTCCCTGGTTCCATATGCAGTTTCTTTGTTAAAAAAACTGCTATGACTAAAAATATATGGGATCCTATAGCTAACAAGTCCCTAGTCAACATTGTTATATTTATTTATAAAAAATCTTGGTTAAAATGCAATTATGGGGTACTTGGAGGTACTTTTAACTCAGAGGCTGGATGCCTTTCATTCTTATGCCCACCACCAACCCAATGGGCCAGCTTCTTTGGTTCATGGTCCTCTCATATCATGAGTCCTTATGCTCACATATGTGTCAGGAACCACAGGGTCATTTATTCATGCACAAGACTTTGTTTCTGAGGCTAGCCCCTGACCACAAAATCTCTCCTGTCTGCAAGTGAGACCATGAGATTACTGTCCACATATAAATGGTATGGTTCACATTCTGACTCCTCTCAAAAAAACTAGTAAAGTTCACGCAGGCAGGGCTCTGCTTTCTTACAGGCCTCTTCCCCACATCCCAGGAGTGACCATTTTCTAGAAAGTACTGCAGGCCAAAACAAGCTCGTGAGTTGAGCTTGTTGAACCCTCATTTAGAGGGTTCTTGTATTGATCACTGGGGAGCAGGGCCCTTCCTCTCACATAGAGCTGAGCCACCTCAATCAGCCCCCATGAGAAGACAAAGAAGAAAGATATGCCTCTTACAAGGCACCACCTGCTCACCGCTGCTGAACACAAGCTTTTCTTAATGTCCCTTCTGGGGATTTGTGAAAAGTTCGGTCTTTCGATCCCCATTAAGTGATACTCTAATCAAAACGATTTACATGACTGTATTATAAACCAGACAGTATGTGAGTTGTTGTTCTGACCCTAAATTTGGCTAGTTATTCCAATTCCATTTCCTCTTCTTTCCAGGCATAAGAATCAGCTACATTACCCAGCCATCCTTGCAGAGAGCTAAGCCTGGGAGCCTGA